TAAAACATGATGATAAATATATAAACGATAGTAAATTATTAATACGTAGAATGTAGTTTATAGAATATGTTCGTTTTATAAATATTTAGAATGAGTTAGATCGATTTCAAGTGAACCAGTTGATGTTGACTGTTTTCATAAATTATTATCACCTCTGAATAAAACATTAATGTACAGGTAATACTCATTGCTATTCTCACCACACGCAATTTTCAGTGCGCACAAGAACGAACCAGTGCAACAATGAACAAAATGAGAAAGTCTCTGCACACTTTGCATGTTAAAATATAAACATCAGACACACAAATAAAATAAAATACTACTATAATTCTAGTTGTGCTCATTAGATGAAGTGCTGTCTTACATTTAATATTGTGCAGCAGTCGTATAAAATCAAAGTAGCTACCAGAAATGAAATATATAAAAACAATTCATATAAAAAGCATTGATTAGGTTGCGACTGTTGCATTAAAAGTGCTCCTCAGCTTCATGTTTTCCCTGCAGCTGAGCGACTCTGCTGGGCTTCATTAGAGGAAACGAGCCTCACATAGACCACAGAATTAAAAAACCCACACGGTCCTTTCGTCCAATTAAAGCAGCCGAGCTGGAACTCGGAGCGAATGCACGACGCGAAGCCACTGACGGGATGGGAATTTACACAACACGTCTCTGCATGTCGGAGGCACAGAGGGAGGAGGAGGAGGAGGAGGAGGAAGTAAGAGTAAATGAAGCGCTGCAATATCGACTTCAGAGAAACATCATGAAAGTACAGACGAGTGTGAAGCTTGAAAAGAGCTCCACAGCTTCACGTTTTACAACAACCATACCTGGATTAAAACCAGCCAACAAAGTGTTTCTCCATCAGTCTCTCAGCACTTTCTGACTTCCCTAACTCTCTGGCACTCATCCCCATTGGCTCCTACTGAATATGTAAATGTCACAAACACATAAGAGTGCTGCAGGGATGAGGTGTTTTTGCAGGCCAACCCCGGATGTTAGCATCACCCGGATGTCAACGGGGCCAATTTGGATTACTGCAGAAAATAAGATCGCTACTAAACAGAAGTTCATGATACTTACATGTTCTGTTCAGCAGGATAATCTTCAACCAATGAACAATGAACACCACTTTATGATGTGGGGGTGACATGCAGCAAAGGGCCAGAGGTCACATTTGAACCTGGGCCACTGCTGTTAGGACTGAGCCACCGGGGCGCCCCAGCATCATTTTTGAGAGACATAAAAGCTTAAAAATCACAGTTGGGAATAAAGACCACAGGCCTTCTTTCAGCCATCTGAACAAAAGCCGATTCAACAATCCCCTAGGCTTCTGGACGACAGAACTGGAAGTGCTAAAATGCTAACTCAAAAATGCTAACTCATTTTCGTGTTTTATGACTCATTCCTCTGGTACGATATTATATCAATAAAAACAGGCTCGGTAATTTCCTACAGCAGCTGGTCACTGTGATCTTTCGCAAACGTTAAAAGGAAATAGTGAATTTGTTGGGGACTACTTTCCCCAGTGGATTAATTCATGTTTGAGTATTTCTGGCAGCAGGACGGTGTGTGCGGGATTGTGCGGGCGTGTTCATGGCGATGAAGGAACATGTGAGCCAGCGCAACAATGTGACTCACTAATGTGTTTTAATAGTTTAAGACAATTATTAAGAATTAATGGAGCTGTAGCTGATTAAACAACCGAGTTACACCAGCAGACACACAAAGAAGCTTCGTGTGCGCTCCTGAGTGAACCGTAGGTTTGGTGCGTTTGATGCTGATTGACACACACGTTCGTCTGACAGCAGCAGTGGAATCCGCTTCGCAGAGCGTGGACATGTCCGGCTGAAGGCTCTGAGATGCTGATTAAAAACGATGAGACTCTGGGGATGAGAAAGGACACTTCATTTTCTGTCCCCTCTGTGGAGGCAGAGCTCTCTGTAATTGCTTCCAGGTGAAGACTCGCATGAAGAAGAAGAAGAAGAAGAAACAGTGGCGGCACCTCTGAGCCGCTCACCTTTGAATTATTCATGTCCATCCTGTTCGACTGCAGCTGGAATCCTAAAAGAGCCGGAGGAGTCAGACAAGGACGAGCTGGATTACACTAAGAACCATACATCACTCTGGAACAGCATCAAAATGCAGACCGTCCCTAAACGCGCCGCTCACAGCTGATTAAACATGGAGGTGAAGGCGTGTTTGGAACGTTTCAGATCTGTTGCTTAAATTCCTGTGATCAGAGCACACATGAAACGTCTTTGTAGGAACAGGAGGAAACGCTCAATGCTCTCACTGCTGCTGCCCTCAGTTGGTTTGTCACGTCTTCCTGTTGAGTTCAAGTGATCAAGGCTGCAGAATGTTTTCTAAAAATGTCCAAAAAAAACCCAAACATCACACACATACTGATGGAAAGAGCAACAAATCTCTGATGTTTTATCGTTGGACAAGAAAGTAGTTTACCGTCTAAATGATCTGCAGGTGATTTCATCTGCAGCTGGTGATGCAACAAGTCCTCGGTTACAATTATAAAAACGCGAACTGTGACCGAAAAGCAGCGTACCGGACCTTCGGCGCCATGGTTACAATAATAAACAGTCATGGCTTGGTTAGGTTAAGGAAAAGATTGTGGTTTTTGAGGTTAAAATAAGTACTTCCTCAACATTAGACGATCTGTGTTGTCATGGTTACAATAATAACAACGTGGCTAACTTTGGTCACGGATAACAGAAACAACATACAACTGCATGGTTTCACGTGGGAATCGAACAACGCTCTCCTGCGTCATATTCATCCATCCACCACAACCTCTTCCTGGCGTGGACTCACTCTCTCTTTAAATGTCATATTTACTACGACCACTAGATGTCGCCTAGCAACAAAACCTAACTATGGGTCATAATAATAACTCATTTTTTTCCAGGACAGACTCCTATGTTTGAAAAGTGATGTCAACATCATCTAAAAATGAGAAGTTTCGACTTGAATTTTCTCTGAATTAAAGCAAGTGGAAAACAGAAACCGTAGTGTGACCGCTCCTTCACCTCGTCCCTTCAAACTAATTCTGTCTGTTTACTGGTCAGGTTTCAATCAAACTGACTCCTGAGAGTTTCTACCTGAGCAGAAAACAAGGTGAACACAAGCAGCAGCTGTAATCTTGCTTGTACTGAAAAAAAAACAAAAAACAAAAACAAAGGGATATTCAGTCGGGGAATTTGCATCGAGTTGTTTTCACATTCAAAGTAAAATGTTGTCCTTCTCTCCAAGGAGAGCTGGATTCCTGCTTGATTGAGCGATTTGCTCCTCTGTGTAATAAGTGTACCTCTGCAGGTTTCAATATACAGACAGGTAAAGTCATACTTTTTTTTTTTTCCCAAGGACAGTTATGTTGTAAAAAACAAAAAAGAAAAAAAAAAGAAAAAAGAAAAACTCCAGGTGGAGCCGACGCAGCGAGCCACAAATGAGTTCTGCTTCCTGCTCGCGACGCCTGATTACACCTTTGAGATGGCAAATAACACCCTGGCTCCGCAGACTGTAATGATCATGTACGATTGTTGGAAATGAAATGCTGAACACTTTCAGCTGCTCTGAACCGATTTTAAAGAGATGAAGAGTTGTCAGCGGTTTTAACCTCTTCAGCTGCACCTGAAAACACCTCCTTCATTTCAGACTCATGTTCAAGATAATAAATCTGAGTCTGGACTTTAAAGATACTGAATTGGGAAAATTAAGGTGTTTTTTAAAATTATTTTTAATTAATTTTGTTTTTAGCTATTACAGTCCTTCACATTCTGGTTGGTAATTTAATGACAAGATCAATATTTTATTTGGTTTGTGTGATGGTATCAGTGCAGCTGTTTCACAATGTTTCCTGTCTTTATGCTAAGCTAATCTAACGGGTTGATGACTAACTTTGGTTTTAAGGGCCTTATTTTAAATGGTGCAACCAGTGACCAACTCAAACAGCTGTTGCATGACTCTCTGCACTTACCGTTCTGGTTTGTTCATGCTGCTGTAATGGGTTGTATAACTTCACACTTCACAAGAGATGAACTCACGCACGCAGATTAAAATGAACTACTTCACATTCATATTTCAAACACTTGCTTGTAGTAACCGGCACAGGTAAACAAAGTATCCGGGTGGGCCAGGTGCGCTCCAAAACAAACGTTACGCTCATGGTCCCCAAACCCTAAAGCCTGAAGCGCAAACTCGCACATACAACCAAAAACAAATCCAACAGACAATCCAAACACAATATACAATCAATATCCAAAGAACACCCACCCGCACGACCAGGCAGCCTACCAAATACAAACAGGTACAAAAGTCCGCAGTCACAAATCCTAGCTAGAAGTCCCAGCACAAACGGGAGCAAAGACGAGACAAACCCCCAATTTGTCATAACCCTACTCTGACGACTCCAGCTGATCTGTTTTGAGTTTTCCTCATTTGATGACACATTATTTAAGTGGTAAAACATATACTGGCTTCATTGTTCTTCTTCTGATATTTTCTGGCGGTTGGCAAACAGCTTTTTTGACACAATACCTCCACCTTCTGCGGTGGCGTTAACCCTCAAGAGAGTTAACAAAGCTCATGTTCATTAGTGTCAAACAGATGTGCACTGACTTCAGACCAGTATTCAGACGCCTTCACTTTTTACACACTTGTGTCGTAGATTTTCGTTCCGTCACTCTGCACTAAATAATCCATACTGACGAAGTGAAAACATGTCTTTAGAAATCTTTGGAAGTTTATTGAAAATGAAGAACTAAATCTCTCATTTACAGAAGTTTTCAGACGCTTTATTCAGGACTTTGTTGAAGTCCCTTTGGCAGCAATTACAGCTTCTGGTCTTCTTGGTAAGTCCCTACAAGCTTTGCACACCTGCATTTTTATTTTAGTTTCGCCTTACTTCAGTGTTGAATATAAGTTCACAGATCAGATGTGAGAATCGACCGCACGTCATCAGGTGATCTGAGCTTCAGCAGGACTGAGCTTTAATCAGTGCCGCTGCGGTGAGTCCGGTCATCTCCAAACACTTCCTTCCTCCTGTTGTCGTCTTCACACAAACTGCTGCGGTCGTGCAGTTCGTACCTGCTCTCTGATTGGCTCTCGCTAAAGCACTGGCGGCCCAATGGGATCAATTACAGGAAGAGGATGAGAATGAAGCACCTGTCATGCATCGCTTTCTCCTCTCCCCCCAAATGAGAGAGTTTTTAATTCACAGCCAGGTGTTTAGACAGACAGATAACAGAGCTGAAGACAACGCAGGAAACAACCAGAGAGACTCAGTGAAACCACAGAATCAGAGTCAGTGGAGCAGTTCAACTGGAGGAAGTGGACGCCGCCGTACGTATCGTGTCCTTATAGTTTTACTTCACACAGTAGCTTCCGACTTTGTGGTTTTCCTTGTCTGTTGTGGAAGTCTGGGGCCGGTTGCACAAAACGTTTTCTCCTTAGCCGAGGGAGTTACTTAAGGTGTTGCGCAGAATCTTGGACAAAAGGTTGAGGCGTTTGTAGCAGTGAAAGATTTTACAGCGGTAAAACTCTACTGCGTCGTTAAGGGTGTCTCCTGGTCGTGGAACACGATGGGATGAGGATGGGTTAATTTTCTTCATTTATTGCCATAAACTCGGATGTGTTGCAGTTAAGATCGAGTCCAACGTACCTGTAGGTGTTTTCCTTACTTTGATTAATCACCAAGGTCTTTTGTGCAGCGGTTTAACTGGCTTTAAGTTATTCCTAAGGGATAAGACTGAGACAAGGAGAAAACCTTTTAATGCTTAAACTTAAGGGTGTATTGTGAAACTGTTTTTATTTGAAAATCTTAACTTAAGGCGGCCCCAGACCTTCAGCTCATTCAGTTTGAAATAAGATAATAAAATAAGCAAAGTAAGGAAATAAGAAATTACATTAACAGACATCAGCTGACACCTTGTATCTTCACTGCAGCTTCCTTCAGCTCTTGCTTGTCGTGCGTTCTCTCTCCTTTTACTCTCGTCTACAGGAAGTGGATTGTAGCTCAGTAGGACTGAGATCATGTGACTGACTCTTCCACCTCCTCATCCTGAAAAGCTCTTCGGTTGTTTGTTTAGTATCTTGATGAATGATGAAATGTCATCCAGTGATGCATTTGGCTGAATCTGAACCGAATGCTCCTGCAGACCTTCGGCATTCATTCTTCCATCAGTAGTGAAATCATCAATAAAGGCCAGTGTGCCAGTTCAGCTGTCAGCCATAACAGAACATGTCTGACGGATGATTTTCTTCAAACTTTTTCTCGCTTTCCATCATTTTGACAGAGGCTGATTTTCGTTTCTTCAGTCCATCAAACCTTGTCCCAGAACTCGACCCGTTTCTTTTTGTATGTGTTCATGAACTGAGTTTTAACAGGTGTTCGCATCGTGTGCTGAATCCTCCTGAGGTTCGGCTCGTGACGTATTCTCTCGATCGTTGACGGGGAAACATGTTGTCTCCGACATCCCGGAGAGCATTCTTGACTTCCTTCTACGGGAAAATGAGTTTCTGTTCATCCACAGACTTTGTGCCTCTCAGTCGACCGGCTCGTTTGACTGAGAGAGTTTTACTTGTTTATCTTCTTCACTTGCCTGGTCACCTCTTTACTCTAACACACAACTCCACCTCAAGATGAATGGGAACTCCCAACTCTCAGTCAAACCATGTGTGAGCGCTTGCACGCAAGCAACGCAACTACCCAAGAAACATTTGGTAGCCAAGCGATAATTCAGTTTTTTTTATCAAAGTTATTAGTTGTCTTAAAATAAATCAAAACACATCAATCAGCAGCCAGGGTTAAAGTTATAAATCTTTTTTTGATTATAAAGCAGACTCTATATCAACCCTTTAAGCCTGGATGAGACGTACACGAGTATTTGATTTTGTGGTTTTTCAGACGTGACCGATGAAATGCATCGTGATTTACTGAAGAAGGAAAATTCCATTATAGGAAATGTTATTTCATTTGGTTTATAAAGTCACGGTTCGGACTGTGGCTGACGGCCCGAGCGAGGGGAGCGATATTGAAGCAGATAACATCAATTACCTGGATGAAAACAACAAAGACAACAACTTGGAAGATTCAGACTCTGATTTTAACCTGCTACGCTGCTAACCAGCTAGTCAAGGCTCAGGGGGAGATGTCGGAGGAGCAAGACGACCGGCAAGCTGGTATCACCGCTAGCTAAAGGTAAAGAGTCACCTGATGCAAAGTGGTCATTAAAACCTTTATTTCTCAACCTCTGAAGCAGATAGAAATATGAAATAAAAACAATTTGAGACTTTAAACATTTGGCTTTGTCACAAAAAAACAGTCGCCGCTCCTCAGCAATGCCCCAAGCCGGGCCCACCGTCCAATCTTGCAGGGTTTGGCTTCCTACATTGTGATGGTTTTTGGTTCTTAAAACCACAAATATATCTTCTTATGGATCAAACACTGGAAGAGTGTAAAACATTGGGGCTTTAATTAAAAAAAAAAAATCATCATCTGCAGCTCATTAAAACAAACTCAGCTAATTTCCAAACTTTTAAATGTTCAAAACTGTAAACAAATGAACAACAGCAGGGGAGTGACCCAAGAACCAGATCTCATCAGAGACTCTGAGGAGAGGAAGAGTCAGAATCCCTTAAAGGAGAAGAAATAATAAAAACGAAATTAAATCTGTGGCAGAAACAATCAGATGGCAGAAATGAGCTTCAGCGCGTTGTTAGTTACACATCAGTTTAAATCACATTACTGCTCTACAACAGCAAATACAGCCTCCGTTATCAGCGTGTGTGTGTGTGTGTGTATATGTGTGTTATCTGCTGTTTCTATGATAAACACTGCAGCTGGCAGTGAAGCAGGCGTCCTTGTTTTCGACATAATTGCTTTATGATGAATTGTGGCTGGTGATGAGAAACAATGAGCTCTGTTTCTATTTATTTCACTTCCGAAGCAAAAACAAGCCAGAAATTGTCTCATTAATATTGCAAAGCTGCAGCTTCTTAAAATATTAAAGAGAGCTGTAAAAAACCCATTTTTGATATATTCTCATCCCTGTAGATGTTTAACATCCTCACGAGAAATTACAGTCCACCTCAGCAGCGACTTCGGCTGCTCTGAGCCATCTGTCTTCAGAACCAGGTACCGGGTACAAACACCTCTGGGTCTCTGGGCTGACAGAGGTGCTCTAACAGGTGTTTGTGACACCGTCCTGCATACCAGTGGATTTTGTTTTGCACTTTTTTTATTCTGGTTCAGTTACTGTCTTTCATTACCAGTGTTGGACACGTACCTGAAAACTGTCATCAGTAATTCATTGCGGATAATTCTTTGAAAGCAGCCGAATTCACAGTAAAGCTGTTCTCATTTACATGTTTTTATGTTTCTGTTGTCAGACAACAGAACAAGGATGAAATAGTAACTGATAATGAAGTCTACAAATTAACAACCAGTCACTTCCAAGCTGCTGCTAAAATCCACATTTTATAACGACAGCGGCATCTGACAAAATCACCAAACACATAAGTTAAAGACAAAAACTGTGCTGTGGTTTCAGCTCTGTTTACATATAAAATGATCACTCAGTGAGAGAGTAAGAAGTTCCTTCATGTCAGCTGCCGTAGGGTCAGCATAGAGAGGTGTGTCTGCGGAGGGAAATCCCGACCTCGCGCTCGCAGGGCAACACTGACGACCGTCTTTTATGAAAGGTAGCGGAGGTTTGTCCCAAAAAGCTGCAAGATTCGTCACTAGGTTGAGGTTTGAAAAAGTCACTGAAGTGGTCTAAAAAGTCAGTAAAAGGCGCTAAGTTGGCAACACTGCTTGTTTGCAATAAATCATTTGAAAGGGCAACGACTGATGGTGTAACTTTATCACTCAGTTAGTCAGCGACATTTGCGTTTTAAGCGCTGGACTTAAAACTAGAAGAGGGGAAAAAGTGAGAAATAAAGGGCCAGCAGGTCGCAGCATGAGGTCATGGAAAGTGAAACAATCTTATAATGAGACAAAGAGTCTAAATGCTAAATGCTAATGTCAGCATGCTAACATGCTCACGATGGCAACGTTAACATGCTGATGTTGAGCAGGTATAATGTTCACCACCATCTTGGTTTACCATGTTAGCATGCTAACATATGTGAACTAGGATGAACAAGGTTCAAGGATGAACTAATTAGATTTTGGCGGACAAAGGTCAAAGGTCAAAGTGACCTCACAAAACACAACACGGTTTTGGGCTTTTGAATGTGATATCTCGAGGGGAATTTGTTTAGATTTGGCAAATATGTTCACTTGCACTCAAGGACAAAGTGATTCGAATTTGGTGATCAAAGGTCAAAGGTCAAGGTCACTGTGAGTTAGCATGGCTAAACATTATGTGAACTAGGATGAACAAGGTTCAAGGATGAACTAATTAGATTTTGGCCG